GGGAACCTCAACTTTTCCCAAATTAGCTTCTGCAGGCCTTCCAGGGACAGGTGCCTTCTCCCTTCCCTCAGCACCCCCTTCACGCCCCTTCCTTCCCCGCCCCTCTCCCCCCATCCACACCTCCCCTTGGCTGGGCCTTGCCGCACCGTCTCATCTCCGCTTTGGTTTTGGCAGGTTGACTTGCAGGTCCTGGGAGGACCAACTTTCTTTGTTTGGAACCAACCGGACTGGACGGGATTTCCTTCCCCAAAATTTCCGCCAATGGGCCAGCTCCTCCCGATGGTTTTGGCAGATTGGCCCAAAGGGGACCGCGCCAGAGGCCACAATGAACCCGGCTGTTCGGGCGGGGGTGGGGTGTTGAACGGATCCCCAAGCAGCTGCGCTAGTGCCGTGGGGCAGGCGTGCAGGAAGAAGTGGTAATGGAGGAATGGCAGGAAGGAGAGAACGCAGGGTGGGGGACATGTGCCGGGTGTGGTGTGGTTATTGGACAGGAAACGGTTCTGAAAGGGAAGAGCCCAGGAAGGGAGCCAGGGAGGGATCTCCTCGTTACCTTTATAGGACAGAAGTTGTCTGGAAAATACCACCCCCTGCCTTGCCTAAATGCCCAGGTCCCTCCCTTCCCTCCTTGTGCAAGGCTAAGGGTTCAGAGAGCGAGGCGCTTATTCCTTCATCTACTATGGAAATGTCCGGCTTTATAAATGCTTTCCTATTGGCTAGATCCGTAGAGTAGGCAAGACTGGTGTCATTATCCCTATTTCACAGGCAGAAAGACTGAGGCCCAGAGAGGCAGGACTGTGCAGGCGGTGGCTGCTGCTCCTTTCCGTGGGCTCTGGGGTGAGTGGTCAGTCCCTTTAGCCGTTCAGAGGTCTGGGTGTGGGTGGGTGTGGAGGGACAGACTGTGTCCAGGTTTGACCAGGGCCTCACTGCACAATCTCGCTGCCTCCCCCCACCCCACCCTCTAAGCTTGTTCTCTGCTGGGCAGAACCCTCCACTCCTAGTTTAGACCTGTCTTGACTATTTTTTTCTGCTCCCCGGTCGGGTGGCCCACCAGCGGCAGCCACCTGGCCGGCCCGTGCCACTGAGAGGCGGCTTTGGTGGCCAAGTGGCTTGCATTGTCGTCTCCCTTCAAAGGGGCTGCGAAGGGCCGGGCGGGTCGCCGGACGCGTAGTGAGGAGAAGCGGGCTAAGGGGGAGGGTCCGGGAAGAGAAAGGCGCAGCACGTGCCCGGGCCTCCGCAGGACCAACAGACCGAGAGGGCGGGGCGGCCTGCGCTCCGGCCCCCCGGGCTTCACGCAGGGAGCCCAATATCGGGAACAAAAGCAGGAAAAGAAAAGTGAGAGCAGGAGGGAGGGAGGGAGCGAGGGAGGGGGCGAGGAAGCAGAAATTAGGGGGTCTTAGATGAAGAAAAAAAAAGTAGCTTTAGGGGGAATGTGCCGTGGAGTGTGAAATTGCAGCCCATGGTGCTCCATATTGTACCAGAAGCTCTTCCAAAAAAAAAAAAAAAAATCCTCCAACGTGACCAGAGGGCTAGGAAGGGGGAGGGGTGGGGAGAGAAAGGGGAGGAGGAGGGGAAAGGGCTGGGCAGGCGCTGGGCAGGCCGAGCCGGAGAGGGGGCAGGATGCGTGCGCCCGCCGCCTGGAATCTGATCTCCCAGGGTGCGCCCCGGGGTGCTGGGACCCTTGGGGCGAGTGGGTCGCGCCACCCGGGACTTGGGTTGTGGGACGAACTTTTTTTTCTTTTCTTTTTTGTGGAGACGATGACTTCCAAAACTGGGAATAATTCAGAAAAGGAACTCAACGGGCGGAGCTGCTGCTCTGCACTACCCTCTTATCTCCCCTCCTCCTCTCCGCTCCTCTTCCCTTCGGACTAGTTTTCCCCCTGTCGGTTCTAAACAGCTTCTTTCCCCCCTGAACTTTAATGCATTTAATTTGGTCCTCGCTGTGGGAAGCATTTCCTAGGGAGATACATTTAATTTCGGAATTTCTAATCCCCTCCCTGAGAGGCCGGGCCCTGGCTCCCCTCGCTCCTCCCCAGGAGGCCTCAGGAGTGGAAGGAGGAAGGCAGGCCCCGGCCAGCAGGCTGGGGCACCTCTGGGGGGGGGGGGGGCTCCCGCAGCCCCAGTCCCCCCGGACCAAGCCGCCTTCCCAAACCTGTGGAGGTGGGGTGCCTGGGCCACACCGTTCAGGGCCCATCCTGCCGAGGGGAGGCAGCCACACCTACTTCTCCTCACCCGGGTGGAAAGCCCGGGGTCAGGGACTGGGAAACTGGAAAACGAGCAGAAGGATCTCCAAAGAAAGAATCGGTGCAATTGGGGGCAAACAGACAGGGTTTCCACGAACCTATCCCTTCATGCACAATGAAACCCAGTTGGGAGTTGGGGTGCTAGCTGGGCGGTTGGTTTGGCTTGGGGGGTCTGTGTGTTTGTGCATAGTAGGGCAGAGAAAGGACTCAAGGGGAACTACTGTCTCTGGACACCTACCCCCCAGCAGAGCAGACACAAGACAAGCGGAGAGATGCAGGCAGCTCTGCTGGAGGAAGGCAGCGAGGGCGGGGGCTCTGGGCGCCAGGCGAGCCTGGCAGGGTAGGGAGTGGGGAAGGCAGAGGAATGGAGATCCACAAGGAAGATTTATTGGGCAGATCAGATGCACAGAGGCGGCTAATGAAGCAAATCCCGAGATGGGTATCAGAGCAACTCCCCAAAAGTTTATTTGCCTTTAAATTTCCGCAGGGAGGCGGGTGCCTTGTTTGAAGTGTAAATGCCCCTAGGTTGGGGGGTGGATGGGCCGCTTTGAAAACACCAGAGAGAAAAGGTTCATTTAGAGGCAGAAGGGGAAAGCAACCAACCCTGACAGGTCGGAGCCCCGGTTGTGTTTGGGGTTGGGTTGTTTTCTTTCTTTCCCTTTCCTTTTCTCTTTCCTCCTCTTTCTTCTTCCCTTTCTTTCTTTTTTTTTTCTTTTCTTTTTTCTTTTCTTCTCTACGAGGCTCTATAGAAGAAGAAAGGGAAGGACAGGAAAGGGAGCATCCGCAGGAGAGGCCAGCCCTTCAGCCTGGAGACTTAGGCGAGAAGGCAGAGCCCTGGCCAAAATCACTAGGGAGCAGGGCTCTGGGACTTTCTAGCCCCCAGAAGGGCTGGCTAAGGGGGAGGCGGACCAACGAGTGTGGTGCTGGACGGAGAGATGGTCCCAGAAGGGGCGGAGTGAGACAGGTGGGACTCTGGAATCTCGGGAACTACCTGGGAATTGGACTATCATGGAAAGGTCTTCACTTCTTAGGGGGCACATGTGTGTGAGAACAGCTTCCCACATGCTTGGTGCATTGAGTCCCCTTCTTTACAAAAGGTGAAAATGCCTCTTGCATATGCCTGTTGTCTGCATCCACACTTCAACATACGTGTAACGTAGATGATGTGTCTAGCTGGTTCTAGAAAAACCTAAATCTGTGTGTGGTTCTGCCCATAGTCTTGTTCCTCCAGTCGTTCAGCCTCTCAGAGACAACTTCCTGGACCAACACAGGGACGTGGGAGAGAAGGGCTCCCTGAGTTCTGAGTTCTGAGCTCCTTTCAATAAAGGATCTTTCCTCGATGCCCCCCAAAACCCCAATTGTGGGTTAATGACCTCCCCGAGAAAGCCCAGTCTGTACCAACGAATACCCCCTAAGAGCCTGCACTCCTAGGCCTTTCCCTTTAGGCTGCGAGAACTCTCCTTTTCCACCACCCACACGAAGTTAGTGCGTGTTCGTGGGGTTTTGAGGCCAAAGCAAACCCGAGAGCGCCATCTGCAGGTCTTCGGAGGAAGAGACTGACCTTCAGGGCTGGACCCTGCGTCTTCCACCTCCCGCCCTGCCCTTAGGTAAATCCGCTGGGCCACCGGAGGGAAGTGGGGTTGGGGGCTGCGAGGGGTTTTTCCTCTCAGAAGCTACTTAGCAGGTGGATTCAGGGGATGGGGCTCAGGAGGATCTAGCAAGTAGGGCAAATACTAGGATCCCAGCAGACCCAGTCCCCTAATGAGTTGGAGGCTCAGAAACATGTCAGGCTGCGCCTGGCCCTAGCCCCGTGAGAGAATGAAGGGTGCACCCCCCCCAAAAAAAAAAACACAAAAAAACACCTGGGTACAAGAGGCCCCGTAGGCAATTCCTTCTGGCTGAGCCGGTGAGGGTAGCCCCTGTGTTAGCGGCCTCCTGGGCTGCGCCCGCCAGCGGGACAGCCAGGTCTGCAGGCTGGGGCCAGAGGAGCCCGAGTCCGGGTCCGAGAGGCTGGAGCGCAGCGCGGGCTTCCCCGAGCCGCCCTTTCACAGACCCGGGGAAGCGGGGGGGAGGGAGGGAAGAAAAGAGGGAGAGTTAAAACATCAGCTGAAGTGCCAAGATGATTTATGAGACGAGGGAAAATATTTCATAAAGATCTCCTGGATATTCTGTACTTAACCAGTTAGGAGACAAAGGGCTTCTCCTGCCTGGTGCGTGCCGAGGAGCGGACCCGAGAGAGCGAGCGAGGGAGCGAGTGCGGACAGGGCTGCGGCGGCCGGGCCGGAGCCCCGGCGGCAGGAGCGGCCCGGCCTCGGAGCGCGAGGCGCCCGCGGGGCTCCGGGCTCCGGGTCCGCGGGTCCGGCGGCGGCAGGCGGCGCTCCGCCCGGTTCGCAGCCTCTTCTCCCCAGCCGGGAGCTGGGTCTCCTGCGTCCTCCGCCTCTGGCGACCAGCAGCCCCGCACCGTCTCCCTCCCCGAGCCCTCCTGATGGGGTCACCCCAGGTTCCAGGAGCCGAGTCCCCGGCTCCCCCACGGTGGTCCGTTGGGTCCCGCTGAAGCAGGCGGGTCCTTGTCTCAGGTGTCCACCACCTCTGGGCGCTCTGGGCGCCCAGACCCCACGGGCAAGGGGATGAGGAGGGAAACCCTCCGCGCAGCCGCGCGTGGGATGCGAGAGGACTAAGTGGCGGGCGCTTTGCCCCGGAATGAGAACTGGGGGGTGCGTGGGTGGGGCGGCACCTCGGGAGGGAAAGGCGAAAGGGAAGGACCAGAGAGAGGAAGGAAGAGCCGGGAAGGAGCGGAAGGGAACTCAGAGCGGGGAGTAGGGGGGTTAGGATTAGGGATGCGGACCCGGCTCGGGGCGGCGCGGCCCACGCGGGCACCGGCCGGCGGATGGCGGGGCTGGGTGAGTGGGGACTTCCAGCCGGGCTCCGCCGACGCCTGAATATTCATTACACCGGCCGCTCCTCGTCCTTATCTAACGTTCATCTTATCGGCGAGTTTCGTTTCTCGGCGTAGTTTTAATCCCGGGCTCCCCTTCCCCCGTCCCCCTCCCCCCGGCCCGCTCCCCTCCCTCCATCTCCCTTCGCCCGTCGCTCCCTCCTTCCTCCCGCTTCCCCCTCCGCCGCCCGCCCTCCCCTCGCCGGCACCGGAGTGACAGGCGCGGGGCCCTCCTCGCCGAGGCTCGAGGCTCCGGCGCTGGCGAATCACAGAGTGGTGGAATCTATTGCCTTTGTCTGACAAGTCATCCATCTCCCGGCGCGGGGAGGGGGAGGGGGTCTGGAGGGGACTTGGCAGCTTTTAGAGAGAGACACACCGGGAGCCCGGGCTCCAGTCTCCGGCCGAGTCCTCTCGCAGCCGCAACCCACCTGGGGCCAGCCCGGCGCTGCCGGCGCCACCGGCTCCTTCCCTCCCGCCCGGCCCTCCGGCCGCCCCGGCGCGCGCCGGCCTTTCCCGGGGGCGGGGGCCCGGCCCGCGCCCTCCCCTCCCGGGGACGCCCGCTCGGACATCCCGAGGATTGCTACTTCTCCGCCAACTTCTCCAACTCACCGGCACTCGGAGCGGGTGCCCGACTCCCCGCCCGGCGCCCTCCGGCCGCCCCGACTCCTCCGCGCCCTCTCCGACCGCCGCCTCTCGGATGACCGGGCTCCAGGGGAGCTGAGCGAGCCGCCTCCCCCGCCCGGCTCCAGCCCCGGCCGCGGCGGCCGCGCGCGCCATGCGCCCCCAAGTCCCCTCGGCCCGGCCCGCCGCCTCGGGGCCGTCCTGCTGACCCGCCAGCCCCGAGCCCCGAGCCCCGACGGCGGGGAGTTGCGGCCGCTGCGGTGGCCAGTCCCAGCCGGCGGCCGGGGAGGAGTCCCCGCGGGGAGACCGGCGGAGCGGCGCCCCCCGCCCCCGTGCGCCCCGCCGCAGCCGGGCGCCCGCTCACCCCCACCCCCCGCCATCCCTCCCTTTTCTCCTCAAGTCCTGAAGTTGAGTTTGAGAGGCGACACGGCGGCGGCAGCCGCGCTCCTCCCGCTCCTCTGCCTCCCCATGGATATGCACTGCAAAGCGGACCCCTTCTCGGCGATGCACCGTGAGTACCGGCGCCCGGCTTCTGTCCCAGCTCCGCTCGGGACTCCCCGTCCCAACCTGGTTCCATCCTGGCGCGGCCCTGGCCCTGGCCCTCGGTGTTCATGTCCCATCCTGGAGGCCACACGGGCTTCTCCCAGTCTCCCCTTCCGTTCTTCCTTCTCATGTCCCAGTGTTTCTAAAGCCTTCCGTGTCTCTCCTGCCTCCTGTCACCCATACTTCTCCCTCTGCCTGCCTTCCTACTTTCCCCAGTGCCCGCCACTTTCCTTCCTTCCTTCCTTCCTTCCTTCCTTCCTTCCTTCCTTCCTTCCTTCCTTCCTTCCTTCCTTCCTTCTTTCCTCCCTCCCTTCCTTCCACCTGCTCCTTGCTAAGTCCTGGGTCTACACCCCATCCACACCAGAAACCCCAATTCCCTGGCCACCCTCTTACCCTGGGCCGGAGGACTGATGGGCTGGCTGTTTTCAAGGGTTTGTGTTGTTTTCTCTGTCTTCTCTCTCTTCCTCCCTTTGCCTCCCTCTCTTCCCTCCCCTCCTCTACCTTTCTCCAACTCACAATGTGGTTGTCCAGGATGAGGCTTGGAGCATCAGCAGCCTCCGTGTCAGGACAATCAGGCAGAAGAATATGGGGGTGGGGTGCCCCCTTCTGACCCTCAGCTCCCAGTATCTCCGTGCGGCCAGCTCCACCAAGGCTTCATATGGGCTGGTTTGAAATACTTCCTTCCCCTTCTCTCCTGTCTCCCTCCTCTCTCTTTCCCCTTCTCTTCTCCTTGAGTTGGGAGTCGGAGCCTGGCAGGATGTGGGGGTCATCTTTCTGCTCCCCACCCGGGAAGGTGCTCCAAAAACAAAGACAGGTTCCAAAGAGAAATGAAGTCCGCAGGAGCCGGAGTGGAGGAGCTTTGCTTCCGGGAGGCACCTGGGCAGAGCCAGGCTATGCTTCTGGTTCTGGGGGCTCCTTGCCCACCTCACACTCCCGGTTGAGGATGGGCCAGCCGGTGTCCTGGCCGGGAGGTAGGCAGAGAGGGAGAAAACATGGGGGAAAGAACAAAAGGAAGGCAAATGCCAAAGCGGAGAAAGGAGAGCGAAATCAAAACATGGGCAAAGTGAATAAAAGAGAAAACAGGAAGGGTGTGACTAAAAAAAAGAGGCGAGGAGCGAAGAAACAACAAAAAATTAAGAATAGGGAATGATTTTAATTAAATTTGAATTTCATTCATGTCATGTGTCTTTAGCTTGGAAAAACAATTCAGAGATTTTTTTTCAGGCTTTTTAAAAAAGCTACGTGGATCCCAAATAAAAACATCTCCTTGTAGATTAATAATTAAGGATGATTTGTAACTTTTCCCAGGGAAACTTTTTAGAATTAGCTCGATAGATGCTTTGAATAAGAGAGCCCAGAAGAAGAGCTGAGTTTTTCCTCTAAGCATACATTTTAGCATGACAGGGGGTATTGGGGGGAGCTTTACAAAAATGCCTCTTGGATAAAATACATTTTCCTAAATAATATCCAAGCACAGGACACCCGAGCCAGGAGCCCTGATCTGCGGCGGGTCTCCGCGAGCCGAGCCAGAATCCAGGCTCCTTTCCTGCGGGAGTGAAGCCGGGTCTGCGCGCGGCGTCGCCCAGCCCGCCCGCCGCTCGCCGCCGCCTCCGCTCCCGCTCTCCTCTCTGGCCGCTCCGAGGGGACCCGCCGCATCCCGGCCGCCCACGGGGGGCACCTGGAAACCCGAAGGGGAGCAAGGCGAGCTGAAGGTGATCGGAGGAAGGGAGAGACGGCGGCGGCGCGGGCGGCGGCGCGGGCGGCGGACTGGCCCGCGAGCAGCCGCAGCCGCAGCCGCAGCCGCAGCCGGCGCCGGTGGCGCATTCCAGGCCGGACTCCGCGCCTGCCGGCTCCGAGCCCCGGCCCTGGACTCCCGCCGGGCCCCCTGCCATTGCCACCCCTTAGATTGGGGATGCGGGGCCGGGCCCGGAGCCCGGGAAGGCTGAATTATTCATCTTTAATCTGCCCGCAGCTGTCGCCTTTTCAGACCGGTAACGCGAGTTCTCCCGGGGCCTAAATTATTGATGGGTGAGGTTCGGAGGGCGGGGAGGGGTGAGCAGAGGGGCTAGGGGTAGGGAGACCAGCGGGAATGAGAGGGTAAAAGAAGAGGTCCCGGCCTCCCCCAGCCTCCCATCGGAGACCTCTTCCCTGGGGTTTGCGCCGGAGCTCGGATCCCCCCAGAAGGGCCGGGAGACGCAGGCGTCCCCGCTTTCTCCGAAAGAAAGTCGCCCGAGGCTAGTCCTGCAGGGGCGGCGGGTGGACCGCAGGGTCCGGCCCAGCCGGGCGCTGGAAGTCTCTGGGCTCGGGTTGATGGGGAATGTGGCTGCGGCTGGATCGCTCAGGGCGCAGGGTGTCTAGACTGCGTTAGGCCAGGGAGAAGGGGGAGCCGGCGGTCAGCGCCCTCGAGCCTGGCATCTGGAACCACCTGGGCTCTGAGGTTGGCACCCTGGGCAGGAGTTTGGTTGGAGAGTCAGCGCCCTCCTCCTCCTCCTCCTCCTCCTCCTCCTCCTCCTCCTCCTCCTCCTCCTCCTCCTCCTCCTCCTCCTCCTCCTCGCCAGGAGAGCGGCCGCCCTGCTGCGTGGTGTCCGGTAGGCTGCCGGGTCGGGTCGGAGAGGTCAGAAGGGTGCGAGCTGGCCCAGGCTGGCTGCTCAAGGTCCCTCCGTGAGGCCTCAGCTCGCCAAGGCGACCTGTCTCGGGCGACCAGGGCGAGGCGGTGGGCCCCGAGTCCGGCGCAGCGGCCGTGGCCGAGCCTAGCAGCCTGCGCTCTCCCCAGGCTGCTTCCCGGCCCCGTCGCTCTCCGCTGCCGCTGGGTCTGAGCACCGCCAGCTCGGCCCCTGCTTCCTCAGCCTTCCCTCCTCCGCCTGGCTTTTTTTGAACTTTAACCAGTAGGGAGACGAGAGGATAGAAAATATAAAGGAAAGGAAAACTCGATTAAAAAAAAAAAACACCAACACCAGAAAACAAAAACACAGAGACGGAGGTAGGAAAACTTCAATCCGATTAAAAATAAATACTAGGGACAAGGTAAAGAGCAAAAGGGGGGGGGGTGTCAGGGACTTAGGGGTGTCCCTGTGTTCAGACCCTTTTATAGAGAGTCATAGGACTTAGACCTCGAAAAACACCTGCCTCCGAGCACCTCGCCCCGCACGCACTGACCGCTCCATCCTACTCAGGCGGGGACCGCTCCACGCAGGCTCTGTCCGCTGTCCGGCCCTTCCTTTCTTCCTCATTCTTTCCTGCCGGCCTCATCTCCCCCTCGGCTGTGTTTCTCCTTCCCCTGTCCTGTCTCTCGTCCTGCACCTCCATCCCTTTGCTCGCTTTCTCTCCTGTGTCTCACTGGTCTCTGAGCCTGTCCTTTCCCTGCCCTCCACCCAACAAACTGCTGCACCTCCGCACCTTTCCCAGCCCGTAGGTCCCAATCCACCATCCGGCCCCCATTCTCCTGAGAGACTCCGGGAACATGCCCCTCTGCCCTGCCTGCTCCTTTCACACGTCCAGGGGTCCAGGGCCGAGGACCCTGACTAATGGCCGGTCCCTGCTGTCTGTGGGGTGTTGTGTTTTTTCTTGTCTCTCCCCAGCAGGGCACGGGGGTGTGAACCAGCTTGGGGGGGTGTTTGTGAACGGCCGGCCCCTGCCCGACGTGGTGAGGCAGCGCATCGTGGAGCTCGCCCACCAAGGTGTGCGGCCCTGCGACATCTCCCGGCAGCTGCGGGTCAGCCACGGCTGCGTCAGCAAGATCCTGGGCAGGTGAGGGCCTCGGAGCTGCCCGGGGAGACGCCCTGCCTCCTCCCTTCATCGGCCCTGGGTCTCCAGCCCCAGGACTTGGCGGACTTGGCGAAAAGTTGAGGATGCCAGCGGGAGAGGGAAGTGCCCCAACGGGGGGGGGGGGGGGGGGGGGCGGGGTAATCTGGAGAGCTGCCCCTTTTGGAGAAGGCGCTCAGGTGGTGGCTGCAGCCCCAGGAGCGAGGGTGGAGCAGGGTCAGCCAGCGCCTGCACGGCTCCAGGGTCCTAGAGGGGAAGCAACCTGATTCCCTTCTTCAAGAAGGGGGACCGGGATGCCTCTTCTAGCAGAGTTTATAGACAGGGGACTGGAGGAATAGGGGAGGAGGGAAAACGGACCCCCAAGAGGAGAAACATAAGCCTGGGGAAGTGGAAGGAGGGTCTTGGTTCTCACAGGGGCTCGCTCTAAGTGGGAAAGGGCTGGAGACTTAGTGTCTTAGTCCTGGTCTGCCTTGGGGGGCGGAAACTCTTCCCAAATGAAAGGTTGGACCTTCACTCCTAGGGGCACCTATTTGAGCTCCCTCCCTGGAGGGAGTGTCCCCTTGTCCACCCTCTCATCCTCCGTGGAGTCCCCCGCCCTAGCTAAGCGCCCCCTCAGCCATGCCGGGCCTTTCCCCCTGTGCCGGCTGCTCTGGGCCGGAGAGTGGCTCAGAGTCTCTGGAACCCACAGCCCCCCTGCCCCTGCCACCACTGCTTCCCGCTGACCCGCCGGCCTTCCCGGAGCAGGTACTACGAGACTGGCAGCATCAAGCCCGGAGTGATAGGCGGTTCCAAGCCCAAGGTGGCAACGCCCAAAGTGGTGGATAAGATTGCTGAATACAAGCGACAGAACCCAACTATGTTCGCCTGGGAAATCCGCGACCGGCTGCTGGCCGAGGGCATCTGCGACAATGACACGGTGCCCAGCGTCTCTTCCATCAACAGGTGAGCATGCCACCCTGGGCTGCAGAGCAGGGCTCCGGCTCCGCCTCCTGCCCGCCAGTGCACCCCAGCACTCCATCTTGGGATCTTGGATCTTAACTTCAGCCTCTGCCCTTCCTCCCTACTCCCAGCCCCAGAGTGTTTTGGGCTGAGAGAGGGGACCTAGGAGGCAGAGAGATAGACAGACAGACTGAGCCGTCTCCAGCGTAGGGCTGAGTATTCCCTGCCAGGCTTCTCCCGCCGGCGTCCTGGAAATGAATCCAAGTGTTTGTGGTAATTAAGACTCCAAGATTACTCGCCTCCGTATCTGGAGACAATCACAGCCCACAGCCAAAGCCTTTAAAATGACCAGTGTCTATTCATCGCCTCCAAACAGACTTCCCTTTCTAAAGGCATACTCCCTTCCCCAGGGACAGCAGCCTGCCCCGGCTCCCCCATCCTCCCTGCCAACTCCCACAAAGCTTGTCCCCCCCAGAGCCCAGGCCTCGCTAGCCAGCTTCGCACAAATTTCCGGCCCACAGGCAGGAGTGTCCAGGCCTTCGGAGCAGACGCCAACCACTCGCCAGCAGTTGGCAGGGACTAGAGAAGGTGGACAAGGAGCGGGAGCTCAGTCAGGGAGGGGGAACTCTGGGTTCTGAGGCTGAACCTGAGGAGATGCCTCTAACCGCCTGGAGTGCCTGTAACCAGGCCTATGACACAGGCTTGAATCAGCTTGACATGTAATAGCAGAAGTTAGTCTCCCGATCTCCAAGCCACTCAGTCCATGTATGTGCACCCAGCTAGCGTGCAAATATGTCTATCTGTGGTGGGCACGGCACACATAAGCAGTGGTTGGACATAGGATGGTTTCAGCATCACAGAACTGTACAACCTGGCATTAACAGAGACCCTGTACATGTTCCAGATGACCTTGGCCAGCCTTGCAACCCATGCCCTCCATGTTAAGGCAAATCCCCAGATGAGATGATGAGGGTAAGAGTTTCATACCCTCGTTATTCTTTGCACTTTTCATAGGCTTATTTTCAGGGTAATAAAGGCTAAACTATCTAATAATTCAGAAACTGGCATCACATATCAAGGTGGTTTTTTTAAAAAATAATTTGTAAATGATATGGAATTATCCCAAATCATCCTGAAAACAGCAGGTGAAATTAGCTGGTAGAATGTACCTTGGCTAAAGAAGATTCCCTCTGCCACACTCCTGCTGTAACGTACTGCAAGGCGACCCCAGAAATTATCCCGGTGTGTACCATCTGTATTAAAATGGTTATCCAGTTATGAACAGGGTAACATAATACTGATCAGCTAATTATACACCCTCCGAAAACCCTCAAGCTCCCTGGGCCTGGCTCAGCTAGGTACTGAAAGCATAGCAATCTGACATTCAGACACCTTCCTTCCGAAGAAGCTGGGGAAAGATGCTGCGTGGTTCCAGAGAGGAATGAGTCTTTTGCATTTAAAAGCCAGAGGGGAAGGCTGGGGCTGAGGCAGGAGTAGTGGCTAGGAAAGGAAAGGAGACAAAGCATTGTTTTTCAAGCCATCTGGACATTTAGTCTCCTGGCTGGTGGCTGGTCCTTGGAGTGAGTTGGGACTGGGGTCGTGAGAGGAAAGGAGCCCTGCTGAGGAGCAGGTGTGCTGGGTGTGGGTGCTGGTGTTCTGGAGAACATTAGAGAGAAATGCCGCCGTCAGTGATAGGATTTGCTTTTAAAGTAAGGTTAAGGCGGTTTGCTTCCCTTGATGGGCCGAGGATTGGAGCAATTAAGACAGGCATGGGGGCAGCATCCCTTATATAGCATCTCTTGCCCCCTCACCCCAAAATACACTTGTCACTGACTAAGATGCTTTTGGAAGCTGGCTTAGGGAAAAGTTTGGGGATGCTCTCATCCTGAAGAGCCATGGAAAACAGGGGACAGGGGATCCTAGGATCAAGCTCCAAAGGCCTTAAGGTGCATCTGTCAGAATTGGGAGAAAGTAGAGAAGTGAGTCTTGGTTGAAATGAGGGTGTGAGAAAGAGCAGCCTCAGCTTGACAGCTCTGACAGCTGCAGAATCTGTTCAGTACGGAGGCCTATCCTCTGAGGGGCATGGAGGCCGCCTTTGGGTGCGGAGCAATAGCCATCTGTGGGCAGGTGCTGCTGTCGATGGAGAGAGAGAGGGAGGAGAGGAACAGGGAAGCTCGGGGTCTGTAGTTAGGCTCCCCACTTGCTTTGTCAACAAGGCACTGTGAGGGACATTCTCGATTTTGTTTTGGGACAGAATCCTATCATAATGAATATTTTGGAAAGAATTCTGAGAGCTACCCAGTGTGCTGCTGAGTAGGAGCTAGAGGGATGCATCTGGGCCCCATGCCTTTCGCTTCATTCAGCCCTGTAGGTGCTTTGTTCTGAAGGGGAAAAAGTTATCTGAAACGTGGTGTTTCACCCTAAAGCCTGAGAAAGGCAGGTGTTTCTGCTGGTCTAGTGATGTCCGGACCTTTGCCAATCCTCAGCCTCTATGGAAAGAGCCTGGAGATTCCCTGCTGTGCAGAGAGTGCAGTGTCCTGGGGAACAGGTAGGGCTTGAGTTGAGAGCTTTGCTGTTGGTGAGATGCCAACGTGCGTTGGGTACTTTATAACCATTATGAGTAAGGGTGTGCATGTGCCCGTGGTTGGCAAGAAAGGAAGTCCACACATGCTCACCCACCTGAGCCAAAGCGTAAAGTTTTTCATATTCTTCGCCTCAAAACAGATGCTGTCGCCGCACTTGAAATATGCTGCTATGGTTATAAACTAAATTGCTTCTCGTGCTTTCAAAAACGGTTCTGACTTTCTCTGATCCCATCGTGATAAAAGTTTGGACAGCCAACCCACATTCTCCACTGGCAGGTCCTCATAGAAATACTTCTCTTAGGCAATGGGGAAGGTCAAGGAGGCCTCCCTCCCCGGCCCCCACCTCCACCTCCAGAAACCGCTGTCAAAATTCTGGAGGATTGATGAATTGTTTAGTATGTGAATCATTTCTTAGCACCTGAATCGTTCTCAATATCGGGTGACTGATCACTGAGCATGGAGTTGCCAGTTCTTCAGCTTGTATACTGCCACTGTAGAGGGTGGGTGTTTATAAGCAGGTGACTTGAGATGAAAACCTGGGGTGGGAAGTGGCCTGGAGAGGGGAAGAGATGGGGTGAGATCCATGCCGCTGAAAGGGGAAAAGTCACCTAGTTAAATCACAATTGCCTAGGCGGGAAGGATTTTCCTAATTGTGTACCAAAGCCTGTAGACAGCGCCTGGGACTCTACTCAGAACTGGTTCATCTCTCTTTCTGTGCTGGATGCGGGAAAGAGAGACCCCGCCATAAAAACCTGGTTTGGCTGTTGCTCTAGGTAGAATACTTACAGCTCCTTTGAAAGAACAGGCACAAACTCCAAGTAGAGTCTAGGGTTACTGGAGATCCCCTGAGGGCAACCTCTTAGAATGAGCTGACAAGGAGGCCGTCACTCTTCTAGCCTTTTCAGCCCTACACACTTTGGGACCAGGGCACTCTGATCACCTGCTACCCACACTCTCTCTTAGCCAGTTTGGCCCTCAGTGAGTACATTCATTCTCTTACAGGGGCAACACTGGCGTCAAGAAAGCTATAGACCGGTGCTATATCATTCACAGGTCTTCATCAGAGCTCTGGCTGTGGGGTGACAGTGGCCTACCAGCTGTCCATTCAGAGACCTTTCTAAATAAGCCGGGGGCCACTCATCCTAGCCAAGGGAATGCTGAGGACATGTTCTCTCTCTGAAACTCAGGTTTCTAGAACATTGCACGTTTGACTCTTGGACCTGGGTTGGCACGAAGCCAGGCAAGAGGTGCAGCTTTTCCTGCCACATCTTCGTACCCTTGCAGCTGTTTGGTGGTCAGGGTTGTTGGTCTCGTGGCAAAGAGCCAAGGCAAGTTGATGGGCTAAGAAGACCTTCCCACAAAGGGATGAGAAAAACAAGGACAGAGAACTTGCCTTCTTGGCCCCCGGGCTACCAGACTGGGTCACAAATAGCAAGCACACATGTCAGTTTCTGTCTGAGAAGCCTTGCTCTCCTGACCCTCCCCAGAGAGGGGTCTTCTGTTGCTGAGATCATTAGAGTATCACATGTTACAGTCATGACTATTGGTCCCCTTATTCCTTAAAACGAACTGGCATTGTCCTTCTAAAGAGCCATGTTTGTTCTCTTAGTTATTTCAGACTTCTTGGCCAGCAGTCATATTAGTCTGTTTCCCTGGTGGCTGGCTCAGAGTGGGCGTTCAGGCCACAAAGTGACTTTCAGGTGAGACCAATGGCTGGTTGCCCTGAGTTCTTACCTCAGCTGGCAACTCTTAGGAAGAGGCAGACAGGAAGAATTGTGGAAGCTCCACGTGGATTTTGGAGGGTGAGGCAAGGAAGAAAAGAAAGGGAAACCCCTAAATAAATAAATAAATAAATAAATAGTGCCCCAACTATTCTGAGAACTCAATAAAACAATCACATCAAAAATGAAGAGGCATAAATCTTGTGTCTGCACAGGTAACCCATTCAATTGCTTTTATTATCGCTCAGGCTGCTCCCATTTATTACCATCCACAGCCTGGGCCGTGGAGGTTGCATAGAGGGTGGTCTCCAGTGCAATCCTACACTCTGGGAGGCAACAATCAGCCCATACATGCAGGGATCTCGATGGGAGCTCGGGAAGGGCCCATCTGTCTGCATGAAAACCAATCAATAACTCTGTAACCAGAGCCGTGTCACAGGGAAATGGACAACACAACAGTTCAATACAGGGGCCACAGGGGGAATTAGCCAAGTGGAGATGGGGCCAGGCAGGAGCAGCCTCCGTAGAAAGGACACAGGGTGCCAGGAGTATTGGGGAGAGAGTGGGGTGTGGCAGGGGAGAGCACTGTCTTTGTGAGTATATTGGCACGAGGGGAAGATGGATGTGCAAAGTAGATCAGGAAATGAAAGGCACCGTGGAAGTTGGGTGGAAGGGAACAGTTGGGAAAGGGGCTTGG